GCACGGACTGGTAGCACAGACGTTATCATGGGCAACTCGCACGGACGCCATCATCGTGCGCGCATGGGTGCTCTGGACACTCGCACGGACTGGCAACACGTGCTAAAACACGGCATCCAGCAGTGTTTGCATGAGTCGATCCACGCGAAACACCCTCAGCCGTGCAAGAACACTGCATTTTTGCAGTGTTTTTGGCATGCGACCCACACGAAACACTGTGAATACCGAGGCAAACCATGCAAGAAACGTCTGAAAGAGTAGGCGGCGAAAACGCCGCCCCCCCCCCCCCCGCCCCCGGTGTTTTCGGCATGCGACGCACACTAAACACTGTAAACACCGATGTACACAAGAGGCGCATGTTGCGCACGATCATCCGACTGGAGGGTACAACTAAGTACACCTCCAAAGAAGTTCAGCAGCTCCCGAGGGAGAGGCAACCGGCAAGGCAACCGGGACATGGCTGCTGCTGCCTTCCTTGGACTCTGTTGCGCTAATGTTGTGTTGCTGCTGTGCCCCAGTCTGCGGCCTAAATTCCACAGCACGAAGTCAAGATAAAGAGGCAACGAAAACAGGCTGAGAGCAGAATGCCCCAAGAAACCACCTCTGAGCAAGTCCGGGACACCTTGTCGCCATTTGCACGAAGTCGTGATGGTTTGTTTTGTTGTGAAGTTGGGTGCACATTCATGGGCATGTGCACGCGGAAGGATAGCTGTTATGGCAGCAAGCAATGTCATCGACCACGTGCGGCCCTCACTTGCTGATTGGTGCATTGAATGCCGGGGATCAGGACTCCCCAAACCTGTCCTTCACCTAAACCCTAAACCTAAACCCTAAACCCTAGGTGTGGGTTCTGAACAGTGTCTTAAGCAATTCCCAGCGGGCACTGCTAAGTATGCCGGCTGCCTTTGGCTCTTGGATCACCGTCGTAAGGTTTGGTGAGGTTCAAGGATTCGCAGGGGATGCTACGAATTGCTTAAGAACCCCGCAAAAATGAAAGCAACTCTTTCTTATCAAGGCAATTTTGGGATTTTCAGTTTTCATTTCTGGCGGTTCCTAAGGAAAATTGTAGGATAGGTTGTTGCTTCTGGGCGCGCCTCATGTCCACAACATCGGTCTCGCGCAACACACCCCGTCTTCTTCAGGTGCCGATGTCAATCAGGACAGGGTGGCGGCCCTAGTGCTGACTTTGCAGGGCGAAGGTTAGGTTGAGGGTTTAGGGCTAGGGGCTAGGGATCCACTGGAATTCCCACCACCCAAGCTTGACCTTAAAAAACCCAGAGCCAGTTTTGTGTAAGCAGCCAAAGAGTCCTTTTAGGCGCCTTGGAACTGAGAGTCGGCCTTTGGGGTTCTCTTTTCCCTTGAGCCCCATTTGTTGGGGCCTAGTTTTTTGTTTCTGGGTGCTGGTTGCTGGGAGAACGTGGCAGTCTCAAGGCTGCATGCAGAGCGTACATGAACATTCGTTGATCGCGGAAGGGTATCGAAAGCAATCTGAACCTCAGCTTGTTTAGTTTTTGCGGAGGTGTGCCCATGAGCACATCCATTCTGCATGAACTTGCGCCAGTCTGCATCCCTGCCCCAGAGTGGCGTGAGGCCACGAATCAGCTGACCAAGAAAAACAAAGCAAAACATAGTTTTTTGCGGAGTGCACCCAGCACCAAGGCACAGTATCTGCGGCATCTCCCACTGCCAGCCGTCGATCCTTGGCTCTTCAGAGGGGAAATCGCGACATGGGATTGGCGATGACTTAGGATGCCTCCAGAACATCACCACTTCCAGGGTTTCAATTAAAGTACAAGGGGGATCCGGATGTGAAGGTTCTGACGGACGGCTGTTTGAGATGTTGCTCTTTCTACTCCTAAGGCGAAGGTCCCATTGCCATCTCCGTACTCCCCCCCCCCGGCCCCCGCCTGCCCATCTTCCGGCACATTAGCACAGACACAGCCTGGACCTGTCAAGTCACCGTTTACCTACTTCCCCAAAGCGACCCACACAGTAAGCGCGAGGTATGCTACAAGCTGACGGCTGCAAAGTGCACTGCTCCTGGTGAAGAATCCTTGGGGACATGGGGTCATAGGCTCTCTGCTTCGGAGGCCCTCCTAGGGCTTCCAACAACTACACACACAAGCTTAGGGTTGGAGTGGAAGGATAAGAGAGGGCCGTTGGTGGCTTCAAATGCAAGCCCGAAGCAGCAGCATCCCGCGTAACACGAAACACCCAATGACCGCATCATCAAGCATCTGTGGCCGCCTCCTAAACCCTAAACCCAGCTATCCTAAGCCCTAAACTCCAAAACCCTAAACATATTGAAACATGGGAAACTACCGGGTCTCCCCTTTGGGTTGCCCATGGTTGCCCCACGTCTATACAGAGACATCATAAAATGTAGCCTACAACCCAGTTCGCAGTGACATAACTTCCCCACACAGTTGGGTTTGAGGGCCAAGGGTTTAAGGTTCACTTGAGTAGTACTCTTGCGGGTTGAAGTACACATGGTACACCATAGTGTGGCTTGCGGCACCTAATTCCATCACGGTGTTGCACCCCCCTGAACCTCCGACAAGAGGCACCGCCCCCTCAGAAACTGGTCCCCGAGAGACTTGCCGGGAGCTTTTTTCACCCCTCTGCCAAGATTCCGTCTCCTTGGGACATGCCCTGGCTGCATCACCAGCTCAGCGTTTCGTTTTAGGGTTCAGGGCATAGTTCTTAGGGCCGCAACGCACGCGCACTTGTAGGATCTTCAGGTGTCCCAAGGGGGGGGGCGGGACAGGGCTAGCAGTTGAGAGCGGCCCGAAATTTCCGGTGACCTCATGCCCGAGGAAAACGTCCAGACGGGCGTGAAAGATGCTTAGGATGTTGAATCTCATAAGGGAGGATAAGGCAGGGCCTAAGGCTGAGTACTACATCACCAGATACGATCCCCAAATGCTGGTTGTAACTGGTCCCGTCCGCTGAGCCCCCAACGGCTTGATCCCATTTATCCATAAACCTGCCTTATATGTGATGCAATATGCGGGTTTCCGAAAATAGGGTGGTACCCTTGCGCGGTCCCTTGAAGGGGATTCGATTCGAAGTTGGGAGATGAAGGGCATACCCTCTGTTGGGAAATGCCCAGATCTTTTCCCCACTATCAGCTTCTATATCCCCCTTGGGAATCATTTTTTAATTTTGTTTATATAAAATACAAAACCCAAGAGGATATTCAACATATCATTTTTATTAAGGTTCTAAGGGGAGTATAGGCTTCAGGAAGGACATCGAATCAGGAATCGTTTCGTGGGTGGGCCGGCTTTCGCCCCCCATGTAGTCAAGCTGCGAAGTTTCAGCCTGGCCTGGGGATGCCGTGTTTTTTTGTTGTTTTTCTTTGGGGGGGGGGGGGGGGGGGTTAGGGTTTAGGGTAGCGGCTAGGGGTTAGGGGTTAGGGGTTAGGGGTTAGTTAGGGGTCGGGCTTCTCCAGAAGAAACGGCAGGAGGAGGTACATCGAGCCGTGTGACGGTATGTTGGCACGGACGCCTGACAGTGCTTGCCCACGGCCTCCGCAACTGACCGCATCTTGCTACAACTTCAACTTCTTCAAGAACCTCAGTTACGCATGGCTGATATATGTTGGTATCGTTTAGTGCCACCGACATTTCTGTGAGTCGTGGATCAACCTTCACAGGCTTCAGGGCATCCTTGAACAATGGCAGGCTATGAGCATTAATGAGCCACACACACACACTACTGCTGATATCGGCAGTCACATTCCCAACTTAAATCTCTGCTGTAGCGCTTGCCGTGCTTCAGGTTTAGGGGTAAAAAGAGCCAGAGTCCTAGTTCAACAAGGGCTTTCTGTCCGAGCGGTTTACTGTGGACACATTCAGCAGCGAGGCTCTCGGCTTGACTTCCCAGGCGTGCAGAAACTGATCCCTTTAGGGTTTAGGGTTTGGGGTTTAAGGTTTTTTGGTTTAGGGTCTTTAACCTTGGTCACTGCACTCTAAACCAATGCGGCAGAGAGGACCGTGGCCGAGCGTTTCCGATTCTGCCGACGCAGATCCACCAATTGCTCCTAGGCGAGTGAGCAGACGAAGGAATTGATTCTACATCAACAAACCTGTACTGTAGGGTGCTGTAGGGTCTTCACACTTGGCCTGCGTCGGAAGTGAGTAGTTTATGTGACAACTAATGTGTCTATGCTTCTGAGCTTGTGAGCTTTCACTGGCGCGGATGGGCGGTTGATGCCGACAGAAACGAGCACTCCACTTTCGCCATCCCCGCAGTATGCTGTAGCCCCTTTAGGATTTCTTTTCTATTTCTGTTTACATAAAACCCAAGGGAATGACAAGAAGACTGCTTTTATTAAGGCTCTAAGGGAAGTATCGTATGAACCTGAAAAGGAGCTTTCGGAAGCTCGGTCGTTCCTTTGATTGGGGCTTCGAGTGGGAGGGTTGGACCAACATGCGGAGTTTGATGACCCGGAGGTGTCTGATGGTGTACGCTGTATAGCCGCTATAGCCCTAGACCAAGCGGAGTTTGATGACCGGAGGTGTTTGAAAATGTAAGCTGTATAGCCCTAACACCCAACCTGTAAACTTGTCTGCGTACAAAAGGCCATAAACCCCAAACGCCTGGGCCGACCTGTTTGCTGTAGCCCCCTCTTGGCTCAGTCAGGGCAGATGGATGTCGGGACAAGATCAGCCCTCAGCGTTACAGCGCGGTAATTGGGGCCCTACTTATCGCCATCTTAAGCCAAGGTTACGGTATGGGGCCCTCAATAACCTGAGATTGGGGAATTCTAGAAGAGGCTTTTGGGTTCTGTGAATGCCAGCCCCATGCCACACCGCCGAAAAGCCCGTCTCCTCCGAGGGGGCTTAGGGTTTCCCGCATCACACTCATCAAGTTGGTGAACAGAGCTGAAACCCTTTCAAGGCCAAAAGGCCCTCCAGCCTTCAGTTCATCCGCAAACCCTAACCCTAACCTCAAACTCTCCACCCAGCTGGTGGTTCCCAGATCTTCCAAGCTACATGGCATGGCCCTTTCGCCGACCTCCGAGTTGGGAGTATGCAGATGGAGGCATGATACAGGGCTGTGGGATGCCAGGCTGCATGCTCCTTGCTTTTCCGCGAGTAGGTGCCCGACTGACAAATCCTAACTTTGAGGCTTTCTTCTCGTTTTGGTTGTTCGCTTGAGTGAGGATATGGAAGGTGAACCATGTTCGACAGTTAAAATTCCGCCGGGCGCACGTGCGCAAAGCCGTGCTGTACGACTCGCGAGCGGCTAAGCAGGCAACGACCAACAAAAACAGCAGTGCGGGCAGCAAAGAAAAACCCTAAAACGCCTAAAACCATCCAAGACCCCTAAAACCGGGAGATGCGCAGCCAAATCCCTGCAATCAGCTAGGCGGCCGGCAAAGAACGGGTGCCAAAAGAAAATAAGGCTAAACCCTGCGCCCAAAAACCCTACACCGTAAACCCTAAACCCTAAACCCTCTAACCCTCTAACCTGATAACCCTATAACCTTATAACCCTAAACCCTATAACCCTCTAACCCTCTAACCCTATAACCCTATAACCTTATAACCCGAAACCCATGACGTGTTCAACGAAGGCTTCCGGGGGCTCTCTTGCTTGCCGGACTCGTTCCCAGCCCTGAAGTCGGCCCCAAGGTGCTACATAATGGGTTTCTTAGTAGGATTTAGGGGGTTTAGGGTTTAGGGTTTAGGGTTAGGGTTTAGGGTTTAGGGTTTAGGGTTTAGGGGTTAGGGGTTTAGGGTTTAGGGTTTAGGGGTGCCCCCCATAACTTCCAGACATTTGTGCCAGGTCCTGGTTCCCCATATGATCCGGTCCCTTAAAGGGCCGTATAGGGGGAGACGAGGGTACCTGAAGGGATCTTGGATGATTTAGGGGGAATGAAGGTGATTCCTTACTAAGAACCAAAAAGCTGCGAAAAGCTGCGCTCAAGCTGTATGCCACTGCTGCAAACCAGGACTACATCATCGACTTGTCGGAGGATGAGTCCTTGGACGGGGCATTTGCCGATGAAGGCTGGGCACTGCACGGGGGAAGCTTGCCCCCTGCGCCTTGGCAATCTCCGCAGCCACAGAACCTCAACAGAACTGGGAGCCGATCCCGCGCAAAGCATGTTTTTTCTTTGACATATATTATGATCACGAACACTATGATCTGTACTTATTACTTTTTTCATTATCTTTTGTATAAAATGATGTAGGTTCAATCTGGCCTGTGCAGGGTGTCGAGCCTCTCGAGCACAGGAGTTGAAAAAAATTGTCTTCGGGTCTGCTGCCTGAATCTTGGCAGGGAACTACTTGACATGCCCCTCATATCCCGCATATGAAGGCCCTTTCAGGGCTACGGCGCCCTAGTCTCCCCCAGAGAATCCTTGGCTGGATTTTAGAAAAATCACCACAAAAAAAGCAAACCCTATGAAGACCTCCAAACACTTATGAAGCCCAGTAAGAAATCTCGATGGTGGAACGCTTGCGGAGGCCCGCCAGAAGCGGAATCTCCGTTCCAGGCTGGGTAGGGCATTCTGGCAATTCTAGGAGTCAAGCAGGGTGTAGGGTTTGGGGTTTATGATTTAAGGTACTTTTTGTTCGGGTTTCAAGAAGGCTTTAGGGCTCAGGAATGTTTAGGCAAGGTTATCTGTTTGCAGCCTGTTTGTGTAGCACGTTGAACATCTGAGAGGTCTACGGGTTCTTAGTATGGGCCCTGAAAAGGGAATGGGACCCATGAAGCTACTTCAGATAAGATTCTAAAGGGGCCTACTTCTAGTTGGGATTTGCGCATGGCCTGCTTGCTCCACGCCGATATCTTTCGTGGCAGCAGCTCGACATTCACGTGTGAGGGTCTCACTGGCGCCTGTAAACCCGCTAAACCTTCCCCAAACCCAGGAACCCTGAGACGCCCAGGTTCCTGAAGTGTAAAGGTGAAGTTGGTTCCACACAGAGGAGCTTGCTCCTTTTGCGCCACTGTGAGAGTCGAAGCCCTCCACCCTACATGCAGCCCTACAGCGCAACATGAAATCCTAAGCCTTTATCCTAGTTTGAGCTCTAAACCCTAAACTCTCGCGCCCAGTTGCTCAGACACAGAGACAGTGCCGAGCAAACTCTAGACCCTAAACCCCAAACCCCTACCTTGGCTAGTTGGCTGCACTAGAAAAGGCGCACAGGGTTGTCTTTAAAAACAACCCAAACCCTGCTAGCAGAGAGCGTTTGCCAAACCCCTAAGCCCCGAACCCTGACAGCTCTAACTTGCGGAGGCCCCGGAGCCGTCACCAGCACACCCTCAAAAGAGGAGTCGCACTGAGTCTCCAGAGCTCTCGCCGGGCCAGAAACCCGGACGGCTGTCCTTGAAGATTTTGGAGGCTTAGCCCGAAGCCCTATGGGTTTAGTTTAGGGTTTAGGGTTCATAGGGTTTAGGGTTTAGGAGGGCCTTAGGATTTGGGTCGGACAAGAGGCAGGCTAAGGGAGTGACTCAGTGTGTCCCTCCCAGGTGCAGATTGCGAGCTGGAGTTCGAAGGGGACCAGACGAGCGATGAGGACGTCCCGCAGTTGACCGTGAGGGTTCCGAGTTGAGAACTGAGCATTTGTTAAACCCACCGTATCCAGCATGCAGATTTGTTAGATCTTCTTCAGGCGGGCCACAGCAATAGTGCGCAAACTACCCGTAGCTTTGAAGGCATGCTCCTCAGTACAAGTAGTCCACCCACCTCGAGACGACCTGAATCTGAGAAGATGCTGGATGGAGTTAGATCAGGGCCGTGCCCTACTGTTGACCCAGAACCCTGACAAACGCCCTCCTCGCCCAGTCCTTGGAGGAGTTCATCCCCCGCAATGCCAAGCTTGCCAGACCTGCCTTGATCAAGGACACCTGGGCGGTCGCAGAAACTCGCAACAGGAACGCATGAGAGTCACTTTCAGGGCAGCATTTCTGGCGTGAGACCAGGCTCTTGGCTTTTCGCTCGTGCTTCCTGCAAGGATCTGCATGGCACCACTGCCCACGAGGAGAAGGCGACCCACCTCTGCTATGTAAGGTAGGATCTGTTTCAAGGTATCTTGTTTCGATCTGTGAAAAAACCCCGGCTTCATGTAAGCTGGCCATGGTGCTTCCGGCATTGTCGAAGCCGGCAAAAGGCTCTGGAGGGCACACCGGTTGGGTCTGGGTGATGCAGATGATAGACGTGGGAAGTTTGGTGAGAGGAAGGCCTGTACGCCCATACTATATATATATATATATATTATATATGATATATATATATATATGATGTATATTTATTTATTTATTTGTTTAATTATATTTATATTTATATGTATATTGATTTATTTATGTATATATGCATATTCTGAAAGCTCTGGCGCAGGGCCCAAAGCTCCAGCGCCTGCCCAGCCAACTCCAGGCCCCAGCCTTTCGGGGAAGGAGGGGCGCCGTGTGGGGGTGGTTGGGGGGGGGGGGGAAGGGAGTCCACGAGGCCACTGCGAGGTTTATTGCGTTCAGGAGTTTAGGATTCTTGTAATAAGAAGTAGGGTGATAAAGTTGGTTATATCCTTTTTCAGGGTACTTCGAACCTTACTTCGAAGTGCCCCACAACCTCCAACTGGGCCAGTGGTCTGACGAAGGATCCTTTTTGGATGTTCCCAGTACAGTGAGCATTCGATTCAGGGTACCTCGAAGTAACCTTAAGAGAACTGTCCATCAAGATTCGGGTTAGAGGGCGTCAGGGTTCGCAGCAGAAAAAATGTTGTGCGGAAGTCACAATCCAAAGCCCGCTTTGAAAGCTTCAAGCGCGATACAAGAACCCTAAAGCACACATCAAACAACCGGTAAAAATTCACAAATGGTTTCAAACCCTATAAACCCTAGCCCTAAACCCTAAACCCCATTCCCTTTTATAAACCCTAGCCCTAAACCCTAAACCCCATTCCCTTTGAGAGCTGTCTGGATTTCATCGGCCAGGCTCTCCTGCCCACCTTGCAGCTCAGCGCTCCAAGGTCTCCGGGGCTGATGGGTTCGTCGTGTGAACTACAGGGAGTTAGGCATCCGCATGAAGACTCTAGCTTACTACATGGGATTTAACAGAATGAATAGATATATATATATATATATATGGTTGTACATATGTATTTATGTATATATGTATATATGAATATGTGTATATGTGTATATGTATATACATGTGTAGATAGACGTAAGGCACCTTTCCAGTAATTCCTTATCAAGAGGTAGTACCTTGATGCAGAATTGTGGGGGGCTTCAGGGAGCCCAACTCGACGAAACCTGAATCCTGCCTGTGGCGTGCTGCGATGGCTGGCAAACGCCTCAATTTCATCCCCTTCCGCCTTGCTTTGTTGTTGACTCATGGGTACTTGAAAGTCGGGGTCTTGGTACCCTGAATAGGGTCATATCCAATTATGACACCACAATTCCCCCCCCTCCTATACCTCGCCGAATAAGTACCCCTGAACCTCCAAGCATGTCCCGTACGCAGCGGACCTGGGTTGCGAGGCTCTTGTAATTTGTGTTTCTGGTCTTGCGTCAAGACAGAAACAAGAGTCATCCATCCGTAGACGCCAGCTCAGAATCCCAGCCATGCTGCCGAGCGTTTACCACACGAGCCTTTCTCGCTTGAAGCCTCAGAAGCCCAAATCCCAGCAGCCTAAGGCAGCCTCACCTTTTTCAAGAGCAAGTGTCAGAACGAAACCCTGCACCCTTAGGCTGTTGGGGCATGGTCCGGAAGTTGCACCCTGAACCCTGAACCCTGAACCCTGAACCCTGAACCCTGAACCCTGAACCCTAAACCTGACCCAGCTAGGGAGCTGGATGCTGCCAACGTCCTTACAGAGCAGCAGACGAAGGCAGTCCAGCCGCCTGGCTGCACTCCAAAGAGGGCTTAGGTGCTTCGAAAGTTTAGGGTTTAGGCTTGGGGTTTAGTTGCAAAAACGGGTTTAGGGCCAGGGTTTAGGGTCTAGGGTTTGGGGTCTAGGGTTTGGGGTTTAGGGTTTAGGGTTTAAGGTTTAGGGTTTAGGGTTTAGGGTTTAGGATGACATGGTGGCCCAGTGGTACCCTTTGGTGCCCTGATTATCATTAATATGGTTACTGGGCTACCAAGATGGGGTGGTTTACAGAGTTTAGGGCTTAGGGGGGTTTGTAGTGCTTGGGTTTTGGAGAAGTGTTGGTTGCACCCCTGGATCCCTCTCCCCAAACGATTTCATCCCTAAATCCCCTCAACCCCGAAAGCCCCCTAGACCCCTTACACACCCTCAACAACTCCTTTAAACTTTAAGCGATCAAATAGGGTTTAGGGTTTAGGGTTTAGGGTTTGGGCCATAGGGGTCGATAATTTCAAAACTCTTCTTTTCAGAACCCCGAGGTATGTTGCGAGCATGGCGCGGCCGAAGAGCCAAAGTGCTGAGCCTGGCTTGCAGAGGCCACCCTGAAGACGGGGGGTTTAGGGTTTAGGGTTTAGGGTTTAGGGTTTCCGGGCTTATTGGGTTTGTTTTCAATAGGTCCTGGGTTTATATTTTTGTACTAGGGCTAGAGGGCTCACAGGCTTGCAGGCTTATATTGGGGTTTACTTAATCGGGGTTCAAGGTTGAGCTTTTGGGACTTTTCGGCTTTATCGTTCTCATACGGCTTTACACAGTTTAAATGGGTCAATAGGGCTTAGGGCTCGTTGGGGTTATACCGTGATATTGGGGCCTGTGGTGAACCTAGCGAAAAGGGTGATGGGCAGCACCGTGAGGTACCATATTATGGAGTTAGAAGTAGGGCACCCCTCCCCTCCCCCCTACCGAGTCATAGGCAGAGTTAGAAGGGTTACCATCGAATATTCACTTAGGCTACAGATTTTTCTGAGGTACCCCAAAACACATTGCATACACACGCGACCGATGGACCCTCCCGGTGCTGTACGCATTACTACCTGTTCATCCCCGGTCCGGGCACGTCCGAAGCTGAGCACGCAGAACTGATGTCTCCTCTAAACCCTAAACCCTTAGATTAGCATGGCCCCTGCGATTCGAGAAGTGTACCAAGAAGCGACGAAAACCCTAAACCCTAAACCCTCAGGGTTCTTTTCTGGCGCATCCCAAACTCTCGTGACGGCATGACGCCCCTTTTTTGCTGCCAGAATGGGCCCAAAGGGCAGGAGAGACTGGAGACGATACAAGTACATGAGAAGCCCGACGCCCTAAACCCTACCTGCACCCCTTCAAAATGGACCGTTATGTGCCCTCAGCCATATATAAGCCCTGAAGCCTTAAGACCCTAGCCTAAAACTGATAAACCCGAGCCCGGAAAACTGCAACATCCTGAACAGAATCCATGAGACTCGGGCACGTCGTCCCATGAGTAGCACCATGCCTGGGGTACTTTTGCTTTAGACGGAGCCCCATGTGTTTTTGAACGCTATACGGCTTAGAGCACCTGGTCATGTAGGAAACTCCATTGATGGGTGATATGTCGATCATCTTTGTCATCACGTTTGAAGAGGTAACTGCGGATTGGCTTGCTAGAGAAAATGAGAGTCCAGTCAGTAGCACTGGAAGCCCGTGCACTCAAAGGAGCCCTGGACGCAACAAAAAGGCTCCCTAAGCCCTTGACCGGAAACCTTGGCCGTGCTGTTCTCAATTATGGTCCTTTGCTTTGGATATCCTAGAGCAGCATCATCGGAACCTGCCCCCTCCCCCCCCCCCGCCCTGATTTCAGGGAACCCTGTCATGTACGACTCCAGATGATCCTTTGTTAAACGCAGCCCCACCTCAAAGTTTTCGTCGACCAACCCCGAACCCTAAACCACCCTGCACCCTCGAACCCTAACCCCAGCACGGTGCCTCTTTCAAGCCCTCGCGTCAGCAGGCGCCTGTCAAAGCGGCTTGGCACATCAGTCACCCCAAGAACCCCGAACCATCCCAAACCTACTGGGTTTAGGGTTTAGGGTTTAGGGTTTAGGGTTTAGGGTTTAGGGTTTAGGGTTTAGGGTTTAGGCCTAAGAATCGCATAAGGGGCTTTCTGAGAATCTTGAGAACACATGACCTAGTTTGTGGTAGGATTCCTAAGGATTCTCTAAGGGGGTGTTAGTTGAACTTGCAAGAGGCGGTGTCAAGATGTCTTGGCTCGGAGTCGCTGCCGTTGCATCTTTTAAACCCTGAACCCTAAACCCTGGACTTCGGGTTTAGGGCTTCAAAAAAGGGTTTAGGGTAACCTAAACCCTAACAAAGGCGACCGAAATTTCGAAGTCCCACATACGGGGCATCCTCGCCAAAGCTTACTACCTCTTAACTTAGTAGGGAAAGAGTTCGGGCCCCTCGATCCCTTTAAGGGCTCTCTGGGACTCTAGGGGGAGATGAGGGTTCCTTTTAGTCCCTGAAACTCAGATATATACATATATATATATATATGTGTGTGTATGTTTATTTGTTTATTTATCTATTTACTTGTTTACTTATTTATTTATTTATATATATATATAAATAATCCCTTGAATGGTGAAATAGAGGGGGCGAGGTGCCAAATTCCCAAATTCCCTGCTAAGAACGAGTAAGCCAGGGGGGGCCGGGGCGGGGGGGGGGGGGGGGGGTTGAAGGGGGGTTCTAGGCTTTTTCGGCTTCCACATGTCTTTTCCGCATGGACAACCACGGTTTGGGGCAAAAAGGGCTTAGGGTTTATCCCCCTGAGCCCGCTTGCTTGAGGTGGGGCTATGGCAAGGATACGCTGGCCAAAGTCCTCGCATACATCCGCGACGAGGTTGGAGCCTGCCAGTGCAAGTTCAAAAGGTCGCGTTTAGGTTTCGGGGTGCGCTCGCCACAAAATTCACATGTGAGTGGGTTGATAAGTTTTAAGTAGCCTAAAAAAGGTTTTGTAGGCAAGTCCAAACTATCTTTCGCCTACTTGTAACCCTTCTTCTCAGTACCCTTGAACCTTCAAGTAAGGCATGCATGGTGAAGTCGTTGCATCAGTGGTGGCCTCGCAAAAAAAAGCACTGAACGGGGAAGCAGCACATGCATAAGACATACTACGACATGATGGAAATCACACGTTGCGCGCGGGCATTGCATTTTCTAGAGGCCGAGGAGAGTCTGTCCATGCAGAGTCTGTGGGTACTGGCCGCGAAGCCGCTAATCCCAATGCAGGAGCCGGATTAATCGCCAAGATGATCACCCTGTCATTGCCTTACTATGTTCCTTAAAAAGGAACCGAAACCACCCATTCCAAATAAATAGGACCTGTCAGGCACCCATCGTGATCCACGTCGACCTGGTGAAGTATGTCGCTTCCTTTCAGGCGGCTGGTGGCTCAGTACCCTAAAGCCGACCTCCTGAATGCTGGGCTTACACAGCCATCGCCTGAACGCCGAGCTCAGACTGCTTTCTGTTGGTCAGCCGCGATGTCCGAAATTGTTGTGTTGCACAGGAACTTGTCGAAAGGGCTCGAATCTTAGACTCTCCATGGGCCCCAGTTACCTATATATGTAGTACCTTATGTAGGCTGAATTCGTATAAGGGCTTGGGGGGGTGGGGTACCAGGGAATGGGGGTCCATGGAGAGACTATAGGCGATAGAAGGTTAGCAGAACAAAGGGTCCGCGCAGCTCCGCGGGGCATTGTCTGCGCTTGTAGGAGGGATGAAGAAAAGACGATGGTCGCGCACCCTCTTTTGGTTTTGTGTCTTTGTGCTCGGTCCTGTATGTTTTGTCGTATACAGCTCCTGTATCTTTTGTTGAAGCTAGTGGAATGAGATGTCCCTGGATGCTGCAAACCCTGTCACTCTCTGAGTGCACTCTGCGCATGTTTCCTTGTTCGCTTGAAAGTTCGGAAACTTGTAGGGAATATCTCTGAATGCAGGGGGGGAGGACATTGCGCCGCCTTAGCGGTTTTCCGTGCAAGTGGGCAGTCCAGCTAGGCGAGCGGAAAACCTGACACCCAACTTCCCTACAAGCAAAGCTACAGTCCTAGACTGCCCTACGTCCACAAGGACACGCACTACCGGAACCAGTTCGAGACGCGGACGACAGGGGGCTCCAGCGATCTTGGCAAGCGGAAGGCTCGATCCCAGCTCTGCTTCCCCAAAGCTCATGTCCCGCCTATAGTCTTTAGAGGCTTTAGGGTTCAGGGTGTACTGTTTGAACCTAAGCTTTGTTTGTAGGTTACCTCAGAATCCTACAAGGGGAATTTTTTTGCGGAGAATCCGAACCTGCAAAGGAGCAGGCTTTGGATTGTTAAGGTGGGGTCTAGGTCTAGGCAAAAGGGGTTTAGGGCCACGGCACATACTGTCGAGTTTCAAGCTCTAAAGGAAAGAGGTGATCCAGACTCCACTGGGCAAGGCCAGAAAGATGGACAACTCCCGAAATGACCGAACATGTGATGGGCCATGCTGTTGGGATCCCTTGAATGGGTGTTAGTTAGTGTAGGGTTTTTAGGCATTTTAGGGGTTTTAGGGGTTTTGGCCGCATTATAGGGGTCTGAGCAGGTTCAAAGGTTATCAGGCGCACGTTGCTCCGGGCCGCACATGTTTGTCCAATGGGGCGCAGTCTTTGGCCCGGAGCATGAAGCGCAAACCGCCGAAGGGTCTCAAGCCATACATCTGGCGCAATGCTACGAGGCTGTATCGAGGGGCCCTAACCAGGAATTCTGTCATTCCACACCTTTCAGCCTCACACCTTTCAGCCTGAGTTTTAACACAACTTGCGCGAGAGGCAGCGGGACGTCAGGCCTTCTTTTCTAGAGTTTCAGGCCAATGAAAACCCGCGTGGTGACCAACCTGTCTTCGAAGGGTGTCTTGAGTTGTTCGCTCAGGGGCACTTGTGACTTGCTGCCTCTCCTGCAAAAAGCGCCTTGTAGTTGCTGGTTAGTGCGGGCATGCCTGTTGATGGGGCGAGGGTCTGGTGACTGGTGGTTGAGTTTCTGATTGGCAGCGCAGTTGCTGCACCCATAGTTTATAGGTGAGCGTGAAGCGCTTGGCGCAGCAGCTGTTGCTATTTGAGGCCCGATCTTAGTGGTGGGTGGTTGTTGTACGGCCCGAAGAACCGAAGGGCGGTACGTGCCCTGAACATGCGGTTTTGGGCTTGTTGGGGGTGCTACACCCGGCACAGGCATGGGAAATCCGCCTGTTCCCTGGAAGCTACGACGAGGCTGGGCATAAACTCGAAACCCTTGTTAGGTGGAGCAATCCGTCTTCACGAATCGCCTGAGCTCTTCTCAGTTGCAGCCAATTGATAACTTCCAAAGCCTCGCGTGGCTTTGGGTTAAATTGTCCCTCTTGGAATGGTCCGGATAACTCATCGCTGCTGCTGCCAGGCACAGCCTTTTGAGCGCGTCAAGTATGGCGTGCTCAATGCTGTGAATGACCCGCCCTAGACTCAGTGGCCGGGTGACATGCGGCACGTGCCAGATTGAAGAAGGTACATACTCTTGCCTCCAATAAGTCAGAACAGATTTTGAACAACTTGACACACTCAAGTTGTTCGTCGATAGGCAAGAACTGTGTGCACTGCAGGCGAGGCATCGTCTCTGTGGCCAAACAGTATGGGCAGGCTGGCTCGTACTTTTGGCTACTTGAGAGGCTCAATTCTTGGGTGTGGGAAGCGGGTGTCTCTCATGTTCATACTCCGCAGCGTCACTAGAGAGTGCTGCCGCCTCCCCTTCGCACCGAGCAAGTGCCAAAGCTTTGGCCTTGCAAGACTTGGCTTGAAACCAGAAGCCTTCGCGACTTCTCATGCTGGCACTCTGCTGTTGCTGCACTCTGCTGTTGCTGCACTCTGCTGTTGCTGCTTCTGCCACCTGCACTTGAGCAGGATTACTTGGTGCTCCGGGGCGTACGGCTACGAACCACCTTCTCGGACTGCCGCCTCTGCATCTCGAGTTTCAATGGCCCACACTGGTGCTTAAGGCAACTGCTCCCGCCCCGCAGGACCGAGACTCCTGCACGCAAGGTCAGCAGGCCTCCTGCGACGCTTGAACTGATTGCTCCAATGTTCTGTTGTTCGTACATGTCCGTGCCTGCGGGGGCAGGAAGGAGGGAGGGAGGGTGCCTCCGCTGTGTAGAAGAAGAAGAAGAAAAAGAGGGAGAGGGCAAAGAAGTCAGGATGATGACCGTGAGGAGAGAGAGGCAGGGTTTCAGAGGGAAGGGGTAGCTCGAATAGCAAGAAGGGATGGCCATGAACCTCGTTCGACGTCTCAAGTCCTCCTTTGCCTTGCTGTCGACTTGTTGAAGACGAAGCTTTGTCCCTGTCAAGGAATGGTATGCCCACGTGCTGGAGCCACTGGGTAGCAGGGCTTGTGATGCTTCCTACGAATCCCTAGTTGAAGAGCCCCCCCTCCCCCCAGCCATGTCCATGCTAAATCAAAACCCGAGAAGAATTGTGAGTCCGGATGTGGGCCAACCCTAAACCCTAAACCCTAACCCCCAGTGTTGCTCAGGAAGTACACAGACGCTGAGCTCCAGGCCGTAACCGAGGCGGGCTGGAGTTCAATGGCCGCCTACTTCCCAAGCCAGCACCTCACGCTATGCCCTGAACCCGAGGGTACACTTTGATTGTTAGCTTCGGCAAATACATAAATACATACATATGTATATATATTATATATACATATACATGTGCATATACATATAGTACACATACACACATGTATATAACCTATATATATATATATCTTGTGTACTAAAGACAAGTATGAGATATGGTATACAAGTTGGGTTCTTTGGGAGCTCTGATGGGCGCGACGATCGCGGACTTCCGACAGGTCGCGCTCGGGGACCGCTTGTACGTGGACTCTACTGTGCTTGACACCGCGGCAGGGGGGTACAAGGCCGGGGTTTAGGGTTTAGGGTTTAGGGTTTAGGGTTTAGGGTTTAGGGGGAAGTTCACAGTAGACGTAGAGTCCGGAGTCTGAAGCCACACTGCCAGAAGAGCTCGTTATGCGCAATTCTTTGGCGTGGCTTGTGTCTTCTTTTCGGCACATTCAGCTGAGCACATGACCCTAAGCCCTAAACTAAACCCTAAACCCTGAGTGCGTGGAGTGCTTGAGGGTTTTGTCTCGTGACCGCTTGTAGGGCTTGATCCTTCACCACCCATGTCCGTAACATGGCGGCTCAGAAGCTTTTTTTTTCCACGGCGAGTACTCATTTTTCAAGCCCAGCTGGCCCTGCCACATCATGCATCCCGGCTGCAGACGAAAAGGCAGAAGTCCCAAGGGTTTAGGGTTTAGGGGCACTTCTTCTCGTGACGTTGTAGGGAAAGCGTAACGAGTTCGAGCTGGCCCCGTTTGTTTGTGTAGTGCGTGTTGGGGATTGGATCTGCCGGCCCCTCGTCCTGAGGTCAGGTACTGAACCGCTCCCTGTTCCGCCGGATTCTGGGCTTGAACCAGTAAGTGAGGTTTTATGACGTGCACAGGGCTGCATCTATTGCACGTCGCCCGAAGCTACGAGGGGGATCCGTGTGAATTGAGATCAGCACGATCTGACATGTTTCTACACTCAGCTGAAGACAGAGAGGCCTGGAAGTGTTTCAGACCAGAACTGTGCCAGCTATAGGACGTTCCACAACCAACTTGGACAATAATGTCGACCTAGTGATGTAGATCGCCTGCGCTTACGGCCAATTGCGCGACATGGGTGTCCCGTGTTGGCTCGGCAGTGGGCTCTTGATGTCCACCTAGTCATGAGCCATTGCCTGGATCTCCCTCTGGATTTGACAGGGATCCTGTTCTAATCTAATTAGCAGGGAACTTGGGACAAGGTACCTATTACAAGGTACCTATTTCTCAAATTCCCTTTCAAGAAGTGAGTAAGTGATTTAGAGTTCGAAGAGGCCTGGCTGCAAAAGGGTTGAGTGGCTCATCAAGATGTGAAATTGGACAACGGCAAGGGTCTCGAAGAACCCCGAAAGGTCTGGGGACAACTGCTCCTTATGTGCCCATGCCGAAAAACCAGTAGGCAAAACCCCCATTTTACTTCTGTAGAACGTGTTAAAGGATTATGAAAGGGGATCCTGCGTTCCTTACCTAGATGGACCCTATGGGACCCTTTCTACGGGATTATTTGGGACCCTAACTCCCTACAACCCGAAGAACCAGTAGACAAACTAGGACTCAGAGTAGGTGCTTACGCCCCTTTGTTGAGGGTTTAGGTTGCCTTAAAAGCTCCTGGGTCTAGCGGAGGAGAAGGCGGGAGAAGATCTGTTGGGTTTTCTACAGAGCCCTGTCATCATCGACGCGCGCGACCCTGGTGAGGTCGCTTGGCCATTGGTTTCGAATCTCAGGGGCTTGCGTGGTTTACTAGGGTTTTTCAGGGCTTTGCAGGGTATTAATGTAGGGTTTTCGGCGGGTAGAGCGGTGAGAACTGAGAAGCCTGATGCAACCGGGTAGAGTGGCTGTAGCACTGTAGCACTTTGGGGCTTCATGGATTTTGAGATTTTTTGAAGTATGCTGAGGATACATTTCTTCTGGCTTTTTGGGGCAGGGTTTCTGGTTTCATGGTTTTAGGGTTTTAGCGTTTTAAGGCTTAGGGGTTTCATAGCGCCAGGAATACAGGCGAAGGTGGGCAGAGTTACCACAAAAGGCACCCGGTCGTTGTTGCGGAATGGAGCCCACCGGATGTGGCCGTGCCTTCTCCTGACCGCAAGGTAAAATCCTCCCCCAAAACTGAAAACACACACGATGCATTCTGTAGGGTTCAGTATGAAGGTCGTTATGAGTATTGGTGAGTCTACAGTCTATAGATGGTGGGTGTCCTCTTGGGAATACCAACGAAACATCCTGCCAGGATTGTGATTAATCTAGCTTTGGCCCCCTTCGCCTTGTGAATGGACCCGTGACACACAAGCCGGATCGCTGTGTCAGATCCCTGTTCAGCAAACTGCACAAACAATATCATGAATAATGAACATGGTAGTGAGGCTTTTGCTCTGAACCCTTCCAGGTGGATTTCAGGACAACTGGAGACTGAGTTTGTCCCACAAGCATCCCTGCGATGCGATTCTCCCAGCTGTGCGAGGGAAGAAACAACCCTTGACCAGCGCCACAAGTCCTGAACCCTAAAAGTGTGAGAGTCGAAATGCGAAGACAAGGGTTGCTTAAGGAGCCCCGCTAAAAAGGTACGTACTACAACAATGACCAGCTCTCTTCCAGGAGCTACTCCTATTTCAAAGCATCCGCAGCCCAGCTCAAGGTGGAGGCGCAGAAGGGAGGCGCTGCACTGGAGGGGTGCGTCCACGTGCCGAAGCTGGGACTGGGGTGCCAGAAGTCTGGCACCCCCCTGTAGACGGGCTGGTTGCTTAGGGTGTCCTTCGAATTTTGATCTTTAAGCGTATTTGTCAGGTTGCTGAAGTGTTTTTGTGTTTCTTTCTGTTAGAGTTTGACGGGCTTTTTGTGGGTGAAAGTACAACGAAGCGTGCGAGTGCACCCATGTGCAGGGCAAGCATGGCGATTGTTGGTTCTGAACTTCTTCAGGGCACCTCTGACCCCACTTACAAGTACCCATGAACCTCCGAGAAACACCCTGGCGCCTCACCCTCTTGCGCGGTTTAGGGTTTAGAGGGTTTAGAGGGTTTAGGGGGGTTTAGGGGGGTTTAGAGGGGTTAGAGTTGCGGGAGCACTCAGAAGCCTGTAGCAAAGGGCATAAGGATTCGTGGGTGCGAGAGTCGAAGAGACCCTGCTCGAGATTCGAGCACAGCCCAGGCTGAACATGGATGGGATGAAGCAGTCCGACCGGCCCACAACCAAGGCACCCCCAGTGCAGTTGAAGAGTTCAGGGTTTCAAGCATTTTGGGTTGGGATGTACCCCCCCCTATACCAACAGTCCTTAATAGGAACTATAGTACCCTTATTATAGTCCCTGATGAGGACTGCTAGTATAGGGGGGAACATCCCAAGTTTTGGGGCTTAACTTGTTTATTATCATAATATCCCCCCCCACCCACCCCCGAAGAAGGCGGCCCATCAAGGTGTTTTTGCTTGGCCCATGTTCGGGGAGGCGTCGTGATGACTACGCGGCAAAGGCAGTATAGGGTTCCCTAAACCCTAAACCCCAAACCCTAATCCACATGTAAGTAAGCCCTCATGTAATCGGCAATAGGAGCGTTCTTTCTCTTGCTCTTGAGGGAGATAGGGTTCGTGTGCAATGGGTTTCCTGGAAAGGATGGGCGTCTCTTCAGGGAAGAGCTCGGCACCCCCGCCCCACCCCACCCCACCCCACCCCACCCCCAAAAAAGCCCAATCGAGTCAAGGAAGAATTCCTGGAGAAGTTGACTGCTGCAAAGGCCTTGCCGCCAGACCAGCCGCTTTCATGCCAAGGATGGCTCACGGGGGGCAAGGGGAACCCCTCTACCAGCCGGAGCTCTCATTTCAGTTTACAGTTAGCTTACGAGGTTGGTTCAGGGCTTTAAAATCCGTTAACGAGACGTTGTTTATTATATATATATATATATGTAAACATATATATATATATATATCCCCACAGAAATCCCAAAACCACTCTTTAAAACGGAGCAAGCAAGCCCTACAAGCCTGCATACTCTGTCCAGTGTCTGACACGAGGTCGCACCCCATCATCACACACTGCGGGAATGGTGGCCGGGGTGGCAAAGCGGCTGCGCTACTCCGGGAGCTGGGTTACTGGTGTCTCGGAAGCAGACTTTAGAACGACATATATATATACATAGGTATATATATGTATACATATTTGTTTTTGTTCTTTAGGGTTTTGGGTCAGAAAGGGTTTGTGGGTCTTTTGATTCCGAAAAAGGTGTGCCTTAGGGTTGACTAGATGAGGGTTTAGTATATATATATATATATATACACATACATATGCTTCTACAGATCTAATTCTCTTATATACAGTCTACATTTGAATAGACAATAATCATGTTCAATCGTGAGATTGTCGAACTGTACAACCCCGTTCCCGGAACATCCCTAAGACTTACCCCAGTCCAGCGGCGAAGCCCTAAAGCTGGACATGAGTTCTTCTGCCTGAAGCGGCAGAAAAAGCCCTTCACCCTGAACTCTAAACCCCCGACGCAAAGCATCCTCTCTGCAGTTCGTGGAGCTTGGCTAGAGTGGCAGACAAAAGCCCGATGCCAGCATGCAAAAGATGCAGACAAGGAATGCCCACAACGGCGGCTCCCCAGACCGGATCCGACTGGCCCGGACCCGGCCTGCGGCCGCAGCGTCGCCTCTTCGCCCTGTGGGTTTAGGGTTTAGGGTTTAGGGTTTAGGGTTTAGGGTTTAGGAACTTCTGGGCTCTGTATAGGGTTCAGGATTTAGGGTGCTTGGCAGGCCAGTCGAGCTATTGACATACAGTTGTCAAAGCCTTTTGGGCCACTGTACCCCGTGTACATTGGTTGCTGAACGGCTCTGCTGTATGTGGTGGTAGTGCCTGCAGCCCTCACCGCACAAACCACGAACACTCTTTACCCGACATCTTTCTGAGAATCCGCTCTAAGGCCCTCGCAGCCACCTGCAATTGCCGAGAGCTCTGTACTGGCCAGCTTGTGGCCGGACCGAACTTTCAAAATTCAGGTTGAGGAGAGGTGGCTAGCTTTCGAAGCTAAGCGTCTCTTCAAAGGTACGAAAAGAGAATTTGTCAGACACGCGGGCCCGTGTGGCACTGAAATGATGGGTCTGAGGGTACAGAGGGCCCGAATTGTCCTTGGTTGTTCGTTCCATCATGAACATGAGCTTCAAAGCTAGACACTTAACCCTAAACCACTCCTAAACCGTAAACCCTGATTTAGTATTGCTGGGCTCTTGCAGCCTGGTGCCAAGGCAGGAGCCCATCATCATCGACGCCAGGGACCCCAACGAGGCCCAGGGGCCGTGTTCCTTTCAAAGATGGCTGAATACAATGACCAACATGTACTATCTCTGTTTTTGCATTGAAGTTAACAAATATGTATGGATATAATTTGGATCCGACACAAAAAGCGCACCTTAGCCAAGCATCCGAGGTAGAGGGAGGCAAGGGCGGCGCTGCCCTTGAAGGCCAAGCTCAGTTGCTGCATCAGCTAAGGCTTACAGGGTTGTGGGTTCAGGGTTTAGGGTTTAGGGTTTAGGGTTTAGGGTTTAGGGTTTAGGGTTTAGGGTTTAGGGTTTAGGGCCCTCCGAAGTCCGTTGCTCAAAAGGGCTAAGGCTTACAGGGTTGGGGGATTCTAGGGATTGCCCTGCTTTTGGGTTCAGAGGAGTTTTCATTTCAGTGGATGTTGGGTGGCATCCGGTTTCGTGGCAAGCCTCTCGCACTCATCGTGTTGGCTTGGCGATCTCTTTTGGCGGATACCCCCCTAAGCCCTAAACCCTCAATCTAAACCCTAAACCCTAAACCCTGAGCCAGGCTGCCTCCATATACCGCTGAACATGGACGGCCTGAAGCAAACTGAGCGGCCCACCACTACCGAAGAGTTCTTCGCCAAGCTTCAGGCAGCAGGCGGGACGAGCTTCCAAGAAATAGCCAAAAGAGGAAAATTTATGGAATTCAAAATCGCCAGGATAAATGCAGCTGGCTTGTAGGGATTGCTTTCATTTTCGGGGTGAAGCAAGTCCTTTGAGTTTGGCTGGGGAACCTGGCAGAAAGATGCAACCTGGCTCTTGCCTGGTCGCACAATCAGACGGTGGCTTCGCATCCCGACCACCAGGGCCTTGCAATTCCCTAAGCTCTGAAACCGAAACCCTAAACCTTGCCAGTCGTGCGCGTGGCAAAACCTTGCCAGCGCGAGAATCGAAACCCCAAGCCGACCCCGAATGCCCCAATCACCCTAAACCCTAAACCCTAAACCCTTTTTTCCATTGTTGCCGCATTCTAGACCCCGCATTGCTGTGGCTAGTCGGGTGAACCCTCTTGCGAAACGGGTGGGAAAAACAACCCTCGAGTGCTGCGCCCTGCAGGAGGGCTTCCTTCGGATCATGGAGCGCCCATCATCTGCCACTGTGGCGGTGGTGGCCGTGGGGGCAAGAGTGCCCTGATTCTGAGGCCAGAGCCCTTCAGCTAGCTTCTTAGAAAGTCTTAGTATCTAAGAAACATTCAACATACCCCTTGGGCCCTTAAGAGAAATTAAGGGGCCCCGGTATGGTAATGTCCTCCCTTAGACTCCCTTATAATTTCCTTCTATAGGTTGAGGGGTATGGGTTTGGGGTGTGGTGAATCATTCTCAGAAAGTAGGGATGCGTGAGACACTGGAGTGCCCGGCCCTGACAGTTGCGTAATCACGGCCCCCACATTCGGGATTCAGGATGCGGGGGGCGATGTCCCGGCTTGTGAACCCCTGACCGATGTGGAGGCAACTCGGCTACTGGAATGCGCACAATGGAGGATCCTCTGCATCTGGGTGGCACAACTCGCCGAACATGTTTGTGTGTTAAAGTTGGCTTTGTTTCGTTGGCTCAAGAAGTAGCGTGGCGGGAAGAGGAAGGCTCATATGTTTGGGAAACTCGAATCCCCATCCCGAGAAGCCTCAACAACTTCCTTGCCAATGCATTGGCAAATGTATGGCATGGAGATTGTTGTGGAATGGGTTGTCTGGGGTCGTGTCTTAGAGGAGGGGTATGCCTTGGGTAGCTCGGGGCAGGTTCTGTAGTTAGGCATGTGGGTTTCGCCCCTCGGGATCCGTAGATCGTGGTGCCCGACCGCTACGTGCGAAGAGGGTCCAGTCCTGCCTAAGGTTCTAGGGCGAGCGACGAAACCCCATGCTGTTTAGACGGGCAACGAACACTGTCTGATGTTGGGCTCCTGGCCCTTTGTATCTGCAGGCAGCCAATAGAACTATACAAGAAGGAAGAGCATGTCGAGAGGATGTTCAAGCCGAGGACAACATCCGTGCGGCGCGAGCGACCTCCTGAAGCTGAGAGCTTGCTTGTCTAGCGGTGCATAAGGTCTTGTTTCACAGCCAGGTGAGAGGAAGGCAGCACCGTCCGACGCACAAGGATGCCCCTAAACCCTAAACCCTAAACCCTAAAGGATTTACTGCAGACTTTTGGATCAAGGCATGTCGGTGCAATGCTGCCTTGGCACACAATTTTCAGGCAGGAGACTCAGCATGTGGTACCGGGGGCCTGCGCGTGGCAGCTGCAGGTGTCTGGATACAAAGTAGGTGGATGTGAAAGTACAAGCTTTGTGACTGAAGAACATTCAGGCTGAATACATCCTGGGGTCTGATAAGTCAGAGAGTGCACAACTTCTTGCACAATGAAAATGGACAAAACGGTGGCCGTTTAAACAGTTCGTTGACTCATAATGGGGTTTCAAGTATTTCTTGAACCTGAACTAGGAACCCTCAAACCTTGGGGTGTGATGGCTGTGTTCTTTGCCGAAACGAGACGCAGGCTAGTGCATGTCTGAACCACACCAATTCCACCACCCCTACACCACAGACCCGGCAGTCGGACGTAGATTGAAACAAGCGGCTGCCCCGCAGGGCCCCCGCTGAAAACCGAGAGTCGTGCCGAGTTACGCCGAGAGTTCAAAGGCGAGATGATTGTTTGCGCGCTGAAAAGAGTGCGGGGGGGGGGGGGGGGGGGGGTGGCACGGTAGAACATGTACAATGTGGTTCGCGCGCGCGGGGAACCTGTTTCCAGCGACATGCCACATCTTTTACATATACTCCTAAACCCTAATTAAACCCTAAACCCCAAAACAATACAATATCCCAAGAGATCCAAGAGCCTACCTACCGCCGTACAGGTGAAAGGGAAAGTAAGCCACATGTTTCCTTCACATTGGCCCGTCCGCATGTTTCCTTCACAACGGGCCGTCCGCATGTTTGCTTCACACTTGGCCATCCGCGTGGGGCCGCGCGCATGGGAAAACAAAAACTAGAGAGAGAGAGAGAGAGAGAGACTGCCCCTACACCGGGCATCAAGAGCTGGGCCCCTACCAGAGCATCAAGAGAAGCTCGCGACAGCTTTGCAGAACATGAAGATGCGATTCTGTGCCCCTATCAGAGCATCACGAGAAGCTCGCGACACCTTTGCAAAACATGAAGATGCGATTATGGGCCCCTACCAAAGCATCGGGAGAAGCTCGCCAGAGCTTTGGAAAGCAAGATGCGATTCTAAGCAAGAGCGTGCAAAACTAGAGCTCTGGGGTTCTGAGAACAAGCTCGAGATCATCTTAAGACCCGAAAACCTTAAAGCTCTGAAGACCGAAAACCCTAAAACCCTAAAACCTTACAGTCAAGCTGGGAAACCTTGAAACGTTACAGAACCGACGACCCCCAGGGCCCTCTCAGCTGTCAGAAGTTGCCAAGAAGTTCACCGGGTAACCTGATAAGGGGTTTCGGGTTTGGGGCTTTGGGTTTAGGGATCCGGTTCCATGGAATTTATCAAGGTTCTTGATAAGGTTGTCGAGCGGTGCTTGTAGGATTTTATAGCGGCTATGTAAGGATTTGGTATTGAGTTTAGAGTTTAAGGTCTAGGGGCTTTGGGAGTAGTAGGGCTTTGGGTTGAGGGCTGTGTGGCATGGACCTTTAGGGTCTATTTGCCACTCCGCTTTTGTTTGCTATTTCAACGGTGCAATTCACACATACAAAATATAGGGTTTAGATTTAAGGCACCTAAGGCATCTAGCATAGGGTTTGCGAGGCTTCTTTTTTTCACTTGGCTTGATGCATCGCCAGTCGTCGAGGTACTCGTCTTCTTTTCAATTCTCTAGGTCTGGTTGCACCCCAGACCCCCCATGGGTTGGCAGGCTTCGCGAGAAAGAAAACCCTTCGGCCGCAAGAGATTCAGCAGCATGTGACCGCGTGACAACCGCAGCGCGCACCACAGTCACCCTTCGCCGCCACCACAAGGGACACCACAGCAGGACAGTCGCATAACGAACCTACACAAGCCTCGCCCCCATCCCCACTAACCGCGACAGTGAAACCACAGCAACGGGTACGCAACCTCCACCACACAACTACGACCGAAAAAGAAAGAAATCGCTACCCCACGAAGGAGACATCCAAAAGGACGCATCAACAGCAGCAGCCAGGCCGGGCCAGGCCGACGCCGAGCAAAGACACGCCACACCCGCAGGAATCACCCGAGCGCCTGCTACAATCATCTGCCCGCCCAGCGTTGTGAGGTCTGTTCTCACCGCCACCACAGCAGAACAGTCGCATAACGACGAACCTACGCATGCTGCGCCGTCCCAATAATCAGAACAGTGAAACTTACAGCAAAGAGCATGCCACCTCCACCACAGTCACAACTACGACCGAAGAAGAAATCGCTGCACCATCATCAAGGAAGACCTCAAAAACGACGCAGCAACAGCAGCTGAATTCGAAGTAGAACTGCTCGCTGCTGCGCACGCAGGCGAACACCTGAACGGAGGAAAGTCTACGTGCTTGCCCAGCGGTGACACAGCACATTCAGAACTGCTGTCAAGCTCGGTACAATCAGGGTCATTAGGAGATCAATATCTTTCAGAAAAGATCACATCCTGTCAGGATCTGAAAGCTGGCCTTCTTTCACCACGGAACGCTTTGCGATCCTGAGGTCGACAGCGAACAAAATCAGAAGAATGTGTAGAGTCCGATGTCGCTTGTCGTCAGACACTTCTAGCGGCAGTGCCGAGGACTTCCGTAGACTGATCTGAGCGAGCGTCGGAAGCAACCGATGCGTTCTGCGGCGAACTTTCAATGAGACTACCAACTCAGGAAAAACAGTGCCACGAAACTTTATTGAATGTGTTAACACACACACACACACACACACACACTCTCTGTCTGTGGCGTCGGCAAACCTTTGCACCTGATCTTCCCTCCGCTCTCTCAGAGCAACCCCTGAGCATCACTTTTTTTATCCCAATCAACGAGCTGATTGACTAGTTGATTCTTCTCCAAAAGCTGCTTGGGAAACTGATTTTGCAGAAGAAAAGAAGCAAGAAAAAATGGAAAACAAGCTTCGAAACCAATGAGCGAAATTCTACCAAAATCCGCACGCCCCCTTGTAATTGAAATGGGGCATCGCAAGCACCTAGCCGAGAACACCCGCGCCAAATAGCCCCGTGGCATATGAACAAGTACAAGTGTGATCCTGACGCTGGCACGCACGCGAGCTGCCGTTCCTGACGCAGGAGCCAGTGAAGGGTTGCTGCTGCAACGCAGTTGTGGGCAGGGAACATCCACAACGCCAGCGCAGCCACGTGAGGCATGCTCAGAGCCGCGCCATAGCCCGGCCACCCCCACATGTAGCAAGGAATTATAGATTGCTCGATAAGCCACCAGGGACCAAGTGGAAGACAAGCTGAACTAGACAGGCGCCAAGCACTTTGTTCTCACACGAAGGAGCCGCAAGCACGATGTCCGCAAATATCGCTCCGTGGGAGCCTCTCAGCACTTCCAAGAAACCTGACCTTCCTAACCTCGCAGGCTCGGCACTCCTCTCTTATCTGTGGAAATCAATAAGGAGATCAGCAAGCAACAAATGCTGACAGGATCAAACATGATCAAATCTGATCAAAGAGCACAAATCATTGCGTGAATCGTCTTCAAAAACAAATACGTTGTAGCATCTGCCGAGAGATGCTTGAGCAAGTCTAGGGCTTAGGGTTTAGGGTTTCGGGTTAAGGGTGCGTGGACTCACTGTAAAACCTTTCACGGGTCTTTCTTGCTGTAGCGGTAGCAGCAGCAGTAGCAGTAGCAGTAGCAGTAGCAGTAACAGTGGCAGCGGCAGTGGCAGTAGCAGTGCAGCAGCAGCAGCAGCAGCGGTAGTAGCAGTAGTAGTAGTAGTAGTAGTAGTAGTAGTAGTAGTAGTAGTAGTAGTAGTAGTAGTAGTAGTAGTCGTCGTCGTCGTCGTCGTCGTAGTAGTAGAAGCAGAAGTAGAAATAGAAGTAGTAGTAGTAGTAGTAGTAGTAGTAGTAGTAGTAGTAGTAGTAGTAGTAGTAGTAGTAGTCGTAGTCGTAGTCGTAGTCGTAGTCGTAGTCGTAGTCGTAGTCGTAGTCGTAGTCGTAGTCGTAGTAGTAGTAGTAGTCGTAGTAGTAGTAGTAGTAGTAGTAGTAGTAGTAGTAGTAGTAGTAGTAGTAGTAGTAGTAGTAGTAGTAGTAGTAGTAGTAGTAGCAGTAGTAGTAGCCCTGAGTCTGGGTTCCAACCAGACTGAGGGCTTAAGTTTAGGGTTGAAGGCTTGTCGTTTCTTGCGTTTTTGACAGCAGTGATCCAACATAAAACAGAAGCTGTAGAGCCACATGTAGAGCCACATGCGTTGCCAAAGCTAGCACATCAAGCCATGGTGCAGCCCATTTGCTGGCTTCAACGCGTTGCATCTGCCAACACAGGCTTGAGCGACTTTGAGTTTAAGGTTTACGGTGCGTGTGACAGCGAGTACTTATCTTTCGGGTTTAGGGTCTTAGGATTTAAAGTTTAGGGTGTGTGGGACCGAGATTTTGGGGTTTGGAGACATACGTCCCTCAATTCTAGAACTAGTTCGCGTTCAGCCAGCTCTATCACTCCTCACCTCTAAAACTCTCAACCCTAAACCCTCCACCACATCCTTAATGTCTCTAAGCCTGAAAAACTCATTCCAAACTCTACAACTCCACGCCGCCTGAATCCAAAGCCCCAACCGAAAATCTATCGGCCAGGAGCCTTGCAGCTGGTTTGGGAGGCGTCCATGGGTGCCACGCCTTGCGTGATTCAGAGAATGTCCGGTAGCTTCTTTGTGTGTAAGCGCCAACAGGTGTTCCGGAACCATCAAGCAACTCTCAGGAACTATTCCGAACCATGAGAACCATTTAAAGGGACCGAGCTATCGCAGGCTTCAAAGTTCGAAGGTCGGAATGGGCTCGGAGACTAATGCGACGGTTCTTCAAACCAAGAACCAAAGAAGCGCAGAGAAAACCTCCTCTGTTAAACAGACCACTAGTCACTTTAAACGACGCTTGCGACCATTCTTTGCTCGAGACTGCCTGTGCCGCTGAGCATGGTTTTATGAATGCCAAAGCTCTTGGAAACAGGATTTCTACGTTGACGTTTACTCTCCGCCACAGTAGAACTCTTGTGTCCTCGGACCAGAATCCAATGTTTGCGGCTAATCCCGGCGGCAATACACCAAAAGCCCAAAAAATATTAACCCGGCCTCGGCGCGCAGCTTCATTGCGCCGTTGATGTCTTGGCGAAGATTTCTCCACTGCGCACGCACAGTGGCCCGCGGCGTAGTGATCCGCTGCGACCCAAACACTAGGGACGCCAAGAGACTTCAAAAACCCCTTTCATTAGGAAGATTCTATAAATCAGACAAAGATTCTTAAGATCATTTTTGGAATATTCATTAAGTAATGGGGCTTTAACTTCCCTGGGCGGGTTCAAGGTAGATAAGATCTCCAGAGGTTCGGGTTTATCGCCTAGACTCCCCTGAGCCCTGTACAGAAGGTTCCTCTTACATATGTATATATATATATCCTCATCAATGTCAATATCCACCATATCATTCGGCAATATTTTATCTCCAAGAAAAATTTGCCATAATCATCATATGATAAAATCCGAATCAATCGAAAATCCTCTAATGGATCTATAACATGAATCTCCGACGGAATATAAAATGAAGATTCGATATCGTTGAAAACGGTATATTGATCAATAACTTTGAATATCTGGATCATTCCCAAGACTACATGCTCCCATGCATGATCCCAACACGAAAAGCCCTACACCACTAACTCGACCTCGGCGCGCAGCTTCTTTGCACGGCGCTCATCGAGGATGGCTTCGCGAACATTTCTCCACTGCGCGTACAGACAGGTTCCTCTTACATTTATGTGTAGCCTCATCAATGTCCATCATATCATTCGGCAATATTTCATCTTCAAAAAAATTTGCCATAATCATCATATGATAAAATCCAAACCTAAATCGAAAATCATCTAATGGATTTATAGCACTCCAGAAGAATATAAAATGAAGATTCGATATCGTTGAAAATGGTATGTTGACCAATAACTTGAAATATCTGGATCATTCCCAAGACTACATGCTCCCATCCATGATCCCAACGCATTTTCTACTACAATCCGAACACCCTTTTTGATTGGAATGAGGCATCGCAGGCACCTATGCAAGACTGCCCACAACAATAGCCCCTTGGCATAAGAACAAGTACAAATGTGATCCTAATGCTGGCACGCGTGCCAGCCGCCGTTCCTGACGCAGGAGCCAGTGAAGGGTTGCTGCTGCAATGCAATTATGGGCTGGGAACATCCACAACGCCAGCGCAGCCACGTGAGGCATGCTCAGAGCCACGCCATATCCCGGCCCCCACCACACGTAGCAAGGAATTAGATTGCTCGAGAAGCCACCAGGGACCAAATGGAAGACAAGCTGAACCAGAAAGGCGCCAAGCCTCTTTGTTCTCACACGGAGGACGCAAGCACGATGTCCGCAAATATCGCTCCACGGGAGCCTCTCAGTACTTCCAATAAACCTTACTAACCTCGCAGGCTCGGCACTTCTTTTCTTATCTGTGGAAAGGTGGCGCATATCTCAGACTGGCGCCGTCCAGTTCTTGCTACATGAGACCCCGAACTTCGGGCGTGCATGTAACCAGGTGTACGACGTGCGCACCCCCACCTAAATGGCCTAAGGCGAGACTGGAGCGCACATGCTCACTGAAAGGACGACCAGTCCAACCGAACCAGCGCTTACAACCACACACATACACCTGTGGGCTACCAGCCTCAAGGGCAAAAGAACTTTCGGCTCCGTGGAGCAAGCGACTTAGCTGTAGCTTCGAGCCGACGCTGCACGCGCGAAGCGTGTATCCTTACCCCAATCAACTTGGACGGGCGAACGGGACATGGCCGTGGGCGCCGCGGATGCTCACCGACATTGAAACAACCTAGCGTTGACGCATTGTTTAGAGACTGCTGCTCTGTACCTTCTGGAGTAACACACTCTGTATTCTCCAAGCCGCCTTCTGTCATGACACAGAAACCAGCCTTTTCTGACGCGCCAGACGCACGAAGGTTCTGCGCAATCTTGCTAGTAGGGGATAGGATTAGGGGGACCCTTGACCCGTGGGGACATCGACCCTTGCACCTTCACAGGGCCCCCCTTCTCCTACCTGAGACTAGGTCATCGTTCAGACGAAGCTGCTGGGCGTCGCTTTGCGACACCTTGGCGCAGAACGCCACGAGCGCGTAGTAGGTTAAATGCTGTCCGCTTCTTCTGCACACCGAAGTTCTTTCGACCTGGCGGCGGCTGTTTGCCGATCATCCTTCTCTTAAGTACGCCGGGTCGCTTCAGAACGAGCTTTCGTCGCTCAGCCGCATGCTGCTTCCGCAGCTTGTTCAATGGAAGCTCTTGCGACTTCTGCTGCGTTTGCTTTCGCCAAGCAGACGCGGTCCAAAGTGACTGGCCAAGCCTGCGGGCCAGAACTTGTCCTGGCGTCATTTGCCGAGAAGTTGGCCGATACAACGCAGTGTTGTGTTCCAGAAGCTTGCGTACCAAAAACACCTGACACTTCAATTTGAGAGATGACTGGTGCAGTGATTGAATCTGCCGAAACCAGGCACGGATCTCAGCATGCAAAGCCTCGTTCGATGTCGTGCCGGATGAAAGAAGGCTGAGCGTGGATCTACTTTGAGAGGCTCTGAAACGGAGGTTGTTGAAGAGCCACTCCAATCTTTCCGGCTCGGCCGCGTACGCCAGGTGCTCGACAATACGCGTGCCCTTTTTTTCACCTTTCCTGTTGACTTCGTCCCAGAAAAGCGCAGTAATCGCAGCTAATGCTTCCATAAACTCAGCTCGGGTGGGCCACACCGCCTTGCTTTCGGCTTGCTTCAAGACGCAGGTAGCTCTTTCCGCAGGCATGGATCCATCAAGGATTTGCTTCTTCATGTGTTCTTCTCGAGCGGAAAGTTGTCTGCAAGACTGACCAGTGAATAGCGGTCCCCAGTGCTGTGCGTCGAAGTTCGCATCAGCAGCATTGAACTTGCTGAGGCACGCACGCAATTGCCTGGATCCCCGAGTACGGTGGCGGCCCGTGCCGTACTCGTATTTGATTGCAAGATGAACGGGATCCAAACAGAGAGCTTCCAAGCCAGGCATCATCGACTTCAACACGGTATACAAGTGCGACGATGGTGCATCAGTAGCAACGCTCTGCACTTGGGCTAGGGCAGCCGGAGGTAGATGCGCAGCCAAAGCATGTTGCAAATTTTCTGCCTTCTCAGAAAACAAAGGCCAAAGACCGACCACTGCACCGGAGCGGCCTCTTGCCGTGACAACGGTGTGAATCCTGTCCGCAGGTTCAAGAAAGAACGGTTCCTTTCCGGCTCGGTAGTTGCCAGGCTTGGGCTGTCCGAGCAAAGGCATCGTGCACTTGACTGTCCCGTCGATGGAGAGGTACGTGAACTCTTTGTGCTCCACGCACTCCATTAGCAGGCGATTGGTTAGCCTGCAACACTGGCTGGAGTTAAAGATATCCTCCACCATCGGCCACCAAGCACTGCTATGCTGCGGCAACAGGTTGACAAGCTTGCTCCCAGCCACGGAAGCATCCAGAACCATTCTTGTCCAAACTGCCTGCACCTGCTGGACGAAGGGTTGGGAACACCACATTGCCTACCTACGAGACGCTGCTCAAACAAAGCCCACAATGAACTCATGACAGAAACACGCCTTGCCGGAGTTGAGCAGTGTCTCTTTGAAAAGTTTCTCGGCGAAGCAATGCGTGTAGTACAAGTCACCCGCTCTGCGCACGCGTCGATCTTTGATGGAGTCTGCCCGAACGAAGGACGGTCCTCGCAAACTGGCACGCAAACACTAATATATAATATCTTGGTTCTGCAAGGACACAGAGAAGCGCCTCCTACGGCCCTACGTGGTTGACAACTGGAAGTCGTCCTGTCGCAGCCAAGACGACCCTCAACTTGCGGTCGATATGGTTTTGAGTGTGCGATAGGCCAGGCTTCACCTGCCTTGCGGGCTGGAGCTGGGACGCGCAAAAGTGACATCTGCTGTGCGGGGCGACCGCGTTAGTTGAAGTTAGGAGGAAGAACACTATAATTACCTCTTAAGACCAGCCACTCCCTCAGCAGCGAAGCGCTGCGTTGAACATAGGCACCATCTCGGACACCAGATATCATGTCTGCGTCGTGCAAGGCCAAGATTACTCGAACTTGCTTGGTACCAGAACAGCAGTACTGCCGCTGACTGGCGTGATGATCTCGAACATGTTGCAGCACGCGTGACTCACACCTGAAACAGCGCCATGGACAGAAAGGACATCGGAGCCCTTGCTTTGTCCTAACCAAGCAATGCGAACTTCCGCTGGCTAGGAACTCCTCTATCTCTGCCTTCATGTCATCGAGAAGCTGCTTATCGGTAAGAACCTGCGCAGCTTCATCCAACCAATGTTTTTGCAGAGACTTTCCATCGTCAGAGCTCTCAGAGCTCACTTCTATCAGCGCAGAGACATCATCCGACGACACACACGCTACGACGTCATCCTGCTCGATTGCTGGCCTCCCTTCTTTCAAGGTATTGTCGGCTAGTCGCCCAGCTCTGGCTTCAAGATCCAACAGCTTGTCTAGAGCTTCCGAGCTCCAGAGATCAGATGTTTGAACAGTATCTGAACTCTTGCATATCTTGAAAACCATTGCAGAGCACGCGTCCAGTCCAGCGGTCAATGCCTCCTCTAAGATAGAAGAGTCTATCCGGGACTCGCCGCACGCGTCAATCACGTCTATAGACTCCACGCTGTTGACACGCAAGCCGACGCAATGAGGTTGTCCTTCGTGTTCCACATGCAGCAAAAAGTTCCCAGGCTTCCAGCATCCTAGACTCAGATCGGGCTGTGGCAAGAATTGTAGATGTAGAAGAGTTGCGCAATCTCTATATGATCGCAGAGCACGCTTCTTGAAGCTGGCATTTTCTCTGCAACCGTTGTCTGACAGCGCCTCTTCCACGTCTGAGATTTTCGCCAGAAGGAGAGCCACAGCTGCAGGGATGCAGTTGCCATTTTGCCGCAGCACAGATTCCATTGGCAACGAAGAACCGACTTTTGACCTTGCTGTGTCGGATAGGATTTGCAGAACGCTGCGATGACGCTTCTCTCGAAGCACAACCTCAAATCCAGTTGCATCCTTCACACGTCGCTGGATGCTCTTGCAAAGATCTTCGACGCTTTTGCCTTCAGGCCGCGAAACACGAACACCGTCGTAGTGAAGAGATAGATGCTTTGGCGAACCTTGCAAGAGGACGTCTGCCATGGCCGAAAGGACCACATCTTCTACTATGTAGTAGAGATGCGAAAGCAGTGAAGCCTCTGGGTTATTCTTTTCCGCGTCCGGCTCCTGAAAGCGAGCGTACTCGTCTGGGAACATCAAGACAACAGCCCAGCGCAAATACAGCGCCGCTTTCGAGAGGCTTTGGAGGAAAGCTTTTCCATGTTGCACAGAGTCCGGAATTGAGGCGCCATTGAAGATTTTGATAAGCAATGCCTTTCCCTCTTCCTGCAGGGTCAGTCGATAATTGCAGCAGCATGCTAGATTGCCAGAGGACGATCTAGGATATTACTGTAACTCGAAAGCAAGAAACGGCTGCCTGCGCTACACGACAAATATCTCCCAAACTTGTAAACTCCCAACCTTGGAAAGCTGCAGAGTTTCTTTACACACGCGATCACGGTCTTGAGCGCACGCGCGAATGGTCTCTGTCACATCGTTGGGCGGAGCTGGCCGGAGCTGAAGCCTTGTAATGAGCTGGTGCATCAGTGTGAAAAGAGCATTCTCGACGTCCAGATCCACAGTTCCGGCAGCTACACGAACTTGCGCACGCCTGCATAGACGCTGCACACCAAGGCCGACCACTTGTTTCCGGGATCTGAATGACACAGCTGAAGAATACGAATAAGAGCGCTGAACATGGACGATCTCTTGAACACATGGCTTCGCCTCCCTCCCTTCTTCTTTCACTTCGGGCAAGCATCGGCGTCTCTTGGCGGGCTCTGATTGCATGCGTTGGCTGCTTTGGCTCTGTCCGACATCGTCGGCCAGGTCTGCAAGGATTACCTCGAACAGTTCTTCCTGGTCCAATATCTTGCGCCCTTTTTTCTGCGCCTCAGCACTTCTGTCCAGGTTCCTCGCAAGTTGCTTTGATGGCCGGCCGCGAACAGTGGGATTCTTGGCCGCCTGGTAGAAGGCGCCCAACAGGTACGCATTCTCCCGCCTAGCGTCACAGCCTCGGACATATTCTGCAAAGTTTTTCAAGTGAAGTAGCTCTGGAAATGTGGACTCTGACTCCAGGTTCTTCCAGTCCAAGACAGAACAGAGATTGAGGCATTCGACCGCTGGCCTGTAAACCTCCAGAGTCTTTCCTCGAGAAGCTGACTCGACAATGACCTTGTTGCGCAGAAGTTGGTCGACCAGCTCTTCCCTGGAGACGTTCGGCCCTGCAGGAACCTTCATGCGCAACAGCATCGGCTTTGTTACGTCGAAGCGCCGAAGACCCAGCAGATGATTGACGAGGAACGTGCGCATTGTGTCCCAGTGCCTTTGCACATCATCGTCGTCCGAGTCCTTTTCGTCCTCCTCAAGGACAATCAAAGTGTGCGCTCGGCGCGCAATTCCTCTTATGTCGCGTGGCTTCATGCCGCACGCCTCTCGCATGGTTTTCTCGGTCAAACCATGATCACCGCCCCACTGCGCGTAGTTCTCGATCATCTGTAGACAATCCTGCGACGCACATACACGTGTGACTTGCGCGCAGTCCCGAAACAAAAGTGGGACAACCCCTGCTCCAAGTCCAAGTCCTGTTGGTTGTGCTGCGTTTCGAAGGCATGCTGCAGCTGCAAGGCTGCGCATATCGCCTGAGGCGAGGTCAAGAAGTCCTTGAGCTCCTGGTCCTTGGCGAAGATGCCGTCCTTGTCAATGTCCTCATACGCGCCTGACTTATATGTTTTTGTCGCAGGCATAGGTCGCGCTATGTACTCAGTGCTCAATACCGCAATTCTTTGCCAAGGTACTGTCAATAGCCCTGGGGTCCTCGAAGCGCGCTTTGATCCGGAAGACTAGAGCACGCCTCAGAATGGCATTGAAGTCCCGGGGCGTCACGTTCAGAAACTGGAAAAGGCGGTTCGCCTCCAACCGCTTCCAGCCTTTGCATTCAATCATCCGCGTTCTGAGGCCATACGGCTTGCGGCCGGTAATGCCTGCCCACAGCCAAGAATCCAGAACACAAGCAGTAGTAAGTAGTAGGTTATAGGCGGTTCGTTTCGAAGTTTAGGCACGTCGCCCTGGACACGTTGCCTTCGCCTGACATGAACTTCTTGTAGAGATCCTCGCGGAGTCGCCGATTGGTGCCAGGTGCTTCTTGACCTGCGTGGACCATGAAACAAACCCGTCAAGACTCAGGCGCTATGAGGATAACGCTGCAATCAGCTGCAGTCCTGTAAGAACAAACCGGCCATTGAGCTGTTCGACTTGCTTGCGCATCTCTTCTTCATTAAACCAAATTTGCGGGTCGAAATAGGCAAAGTTGTGGACGTACATTGCCTGTCCCAGAACAAGCGCGGACAATCGTTGCCGTGCTGGTGTGTGCTGGTCTGCAAGCCTATGAACAAACACAGGTCGGCTCGTCTGTCCTCTAGATGCGCCGAATATAAGGACTGACCAACGCCGCCGGATGAAAGTCCCATGAAGAGCCGCACGACGTTGATGCCTCTCTTCGCCAGGGCCTGATCGCAAAAAGAAGCCGCCGCAACTTGCTTTCCTGCTAGACAGCTACGAACGTTCTAAGCTCAATGCCATCCAGTAGCCTGTGCAGCTTGGCAGCACTTGAAAACCTCGACGTTGCTCCAGAAAGTTTGTCGATAGAACTTTGTGAGGCGTGTCATGACATGGTCTGGCACGAACTTTTTGATGCTGTGCGGAATGTGCGTGTAAATGTCCCTGATGCTTGATCGCTCCACCTCTGCAAGGCCGCTGGTTGCGATTGCGCTTTTAGCACACCAGAGCTACTGCCAAACAAAACAAGAACAATTTCTTTTTGCGCCGGCCTGCCGAGCTGATCCATTGTTGGGATACTCGACACAGTAGTCGTTGTAGCAGCAGCCTGGAACATGACTCATGGGTCGTTCACAAAACTCGACCATGTACGAAATTAGCTTCTCGTCCGAGAGGTCTCGAATGATGTTGCGCTTGAGTGCAATGATCATGCGAGCGCAATAGATGTGCCAGTGGTTGGCTGGGACTTCTCCGGCGGGTACCTCGTCTTGCTCATCGGCCTGTTGGCTTGCCCTTCTGCTTTTTAGCAGCGCGTCACCCTGGTTGTTGGCTGCGGCGATGCGGCATCTTTCAAGTAACGCTTGTTCGCAATCGGAGCCTTCCAGCAGCAGTGACACTGCTTGAAGAACTTCCTGCTCTACACGGCGAGTGCCTTGCGGCAGTATCCGAAAAAGTCCTCGCAGGCTTTCTAAGCATCGTGCACACGAGAAAAGCCAACTGTCTTCCGTGGCAGGAACAACCCTGCAAACAAGAGCTACGTGGACAGTCCTTCTAGATGCAGAAGAAACCTATGAACTCGGCTGCAGTCAAGAGGAAGACCTTTGTAGTGTTGGAAAGCCCCGCTTGCATGTAGGACGTAGCAGTCCCCATGGTGGAACCGCATATACTTCTCACCCTCGATGATGAACAGCATCATGGCATTCTCGCGCTGAAACACATCAACGGTCCGTAAGCTCAGAACTGCAACTGCAGCTGTCATAAGGTTCGTCATGTACTCAGACAGATCCGGAAAGTCTGTTGAAATCTGGAACTTGTGCTTCTGAACTATTTGAGGAATGCTGTTTGACTGGTCAGCCTGATCGGCGGGATCATTCTGAAACGCAACTCGGGATGCTTCTAAGCCAGCAAACAAACTGTCAAAGTCCTGGTCCGACGTCGCAGCACCAGGCAACAGACGCCGTTTTTTCAGAACTTCCCAAACCTTGTCGTCCGCGTCCTCTGGTCCTTCAAGGACGATGTTTGCAGCAGCTGCTTCGATTCGCTCTTCCTTGATATCTGCTAAAGCCATGTCTGTCCCTGCCATTTCTTCTTGCAGTTCTCGATCGACGCGGGCAGCAAAACTGTCTTGTGACGCTGCCACATTTGCAGCAGGAGATGCGCCACCTGCGTAGTCGTGCAGCCGAGAGCTGTCAGCAGACAGAGAGCCCTTGTCCGCAGGGTGCAACCCTTGCGCGGGTGTGGGATGTACTGAGTACGCGCTCCGCTCTTTCCGACACCGTGCGATCGCCACATGTACCCGCAAGGCACAGTGGCAGGCATCAGTTCTCCATGCGACTATGTTATCCTTGGCATCGTTTGGATGAGGTAGATTTTGCATAAATGAAGACTGACTTGCTGGCAAGCTTGCAGCAGCGATTGCATGCGTGTACATGAAGAGAACCAAGTCTTGCTGTTGATCCAGTAAGCCCAAGAAAGTTCTTGCTCTGTACATCAGGACTTCCCACGCGCGTTTGGACATGGTTCCTCGCTCAGCAGGATGTGGTAAGAAATGAACAGCCATGGGGTGTTGCCGCAGACAAGCAGAACGTTCCCGCATGATGTCGCAAATAACAGCCATGGACTTGCTTCGACCGTCAGATGATTCTGTAGCTTCCAATGTGTAGCTTGTGTCGAGGGGGCCCGATCTCTCGATTGACTGCCATATGCTGCAGGCCGTTTGATACGCGCAGGTGATGGTGTAGACATCAGACTGCTGCACCAAACTGCCGCCGAGATAGTCATCAAGCTGCGTGGGGCAGTTAGAAAATGGTACTATCTCGACGTGTGATCGGCACAACCGTGTGCCAGCAAGGATACAAACAGTCCATCGAGACTGCACGAGGGCGTGCGTTCGTTCGCAGATAGAACGCTTGACTTCTGCTTGTTCTGAGCACGGGTAGCCTGACAGATTGCAGTCTGCAGCCGCGCAGGAGCACATCAACGAGTCAGAGCGCGGACACGAACCTCCTACGGCGTCCTGCCAGACAGCTGCGCAATTTTGACAGATCTGCTGGTTGTCGATGAGACTTCTATGTTGCGCGCAGAACCACTCCGAACAATGGTTGCACGCTTTGACATTGCCTGACCCAAGCAGTATCACTCGCTGACATTTGAAGCAACTGACAGGTGAATTTGCTTGCACAGGACATGGAGTTGGCCGCACTGTAAATCCAGCCTGCGACGCTGTGGCAGGAGCAAAGATTCGAACAAAAAACTTGGTGAACACTCCCAGTTCTTGCTGCACGTGCGGGTGTACTTGGAGAGCGGGTAGAGCAACTCCATCAATCACAACCCACATCGTCCATCTGTCCCACCGAACCTCGACGAGATGCTCATCACGTCTGCCTGGGAGAGGTCCGCCTATGCGTAGCGCTGGCACAGGTACGTCGTCGCTTCTGCCAAAACTGATTTCCATGTCAGTCTCGAAAGGTTTGCGAATGCGACAGAAGATAGCTCTGGGCTGGCTTAGCAACGGCCAAGGGTGCAAGCCATCTCTCTTCTTGATACCAACAAGCAGGAGCCCGCACGCCTGCCTGATCTGCAAGGCACACGCTGCTCTCCCGAACAGGTTCTCAGTGGATTCCCACGAAAAGCAAGCGTGTCTGAAGACTCTCGAAATTTCGGGCTGGCGCAGCGACCATGCCAAGGACAGATTCTGCGGCAGCGCTGACAGCGGCAACCTTCCCAGATGTCTATTGCAGACGACAATCTCGCTAGCCTCAGACCACACAGGTATGAACCTGATTGACCTGGCAAACTGGCAGAGGCTGACGTTGGAAAAGGTGTCCAGGTGAATGGAAAGGTGTCGCCACGCCCTTGGGTCCAGAAGGATTTCTCGCAGCCTGCGGCAGCCGGCCTGCAACTGCAACATGTGCTCCGGACAAGAAAAGCTGATGCTAACGGATTGCAGCACATCGTATGGAAGAGATCCACCCTGAAGGTCTTGAGGCTCCAAGTGTGATCTGCCGCATCTTCGACGTTCAGCCCGAGGAACCAGCGCTTGGGCATCAACGCCCCGTAGCCGTGAACCAAAATTGCTTTGAAGCTTCTCGCAATGGCACGCAAGGATGGACCAGCATGCCTCAGCTACCCACAGCGCTGATCCACCTATGGCGTCAGGAAAACCAATCAAAGGCTCCATCATACGCCGCACCTCCGCGTCCAGTGTGGATACGGGGTAAATCCATGGGAAGTCGCCGTGCTCTGGATGACAACAAACGATGTACATCTCAGAGACAGAAACACCATAGTACTTCTCAAGCAGATACCTATAGGCATTCAACTGCAATGTATAGTGCATGACTGTGCAGTCACGCAGACCATCCAGCGGCGCGTGCATTCTCTTGCCGGAGGTGCACTTCTCTGGAAGGCCTGCGCTGCGCTTCCAGTCAACGAGCACGAATGTCCCGTCAACTTTCTTGGCGCAAAAGTCAATCGAACCGGCAAGACCCTCCTCCTCACCGTAGATGACCCACTCAGTGCGCCAAGCGGTAACGTCACTCGGCAAAGTTGCCAGGAACTGCTGGAGCATACGGTACTCTGGAGAAGAATTTGGAACTTCATAGCCGTTCAAGAACGCCTCGAACAAGTTGTGCATGTACGTCCCATAGTGTGAGGCCGCCTGAGCGTTGGCTGCCCATTTCTGCTTGATCTCTTCTGGAGTCAAAGACAGCCTTGCAATGTCTTCATTCAGATCATGGACTCGCGCGAGTCTGCGCAGCACATCGCAGATTCGAGGCTCATCACGAGGGTTGCCCGCGAGCAACGGAAGCAAATCTGGATGTAGCAAATGCAGCCGCGCGATTGCATCAAAGCATATCTCTGGACGCAGATATCCGGGCCTAGGCCAGTTGTGTCCCCTCATCATGTTGTTGATGATTTCATCAGCGCGGAACGCCTCAGAAAACCTGTGAATCAGGCCCGTCACGGAGTACGACATCTTCACACCGTTAACGAAGTACTCATGCTTTACAGGCTCAAACCGAACGCAAGCGTCCCTGGGGTGGCAATGCAAATACTTCAACACGTCCACGTCTGGAATTGCAGCAGCGTCATACTCAGCTGGAGAGGCTGGAAAGTTCAGACGCCCTGAGTGGATCGGTCGCGGCAAAAATCACGGGCAGCCCCAGCAAAAATACCCAACCTTAGATCTTCTTAAGCAAGTTTCACAGACGCCAGCACAAAATCTCTGCAACATGTGCCTTGCGCAAGAAACCTTCCAGAATCATGAGACGTTGTCTCCTGTTGGACGCCGATAGCTGGAAGCGATTCGTCACGGATATCTCCAGGTCTTAGCTTGGAACTCTAGCAGCTGCCTCCTACATGTTTCAGTGCATCAACTGAATATTACAAAAGGGTTTATGCGAAACCATAAAGTTCCATTGTTCACCACGGGACGGCGTTCTCTCTCCATCGACATTTACACGTAGGGTGTCTGGCCTGAAGCCATCCCAAAGTCACGCAGACGGTTTCGCAGAGCGAAGCATGTCATTTCAAATTGCCATTACGAGCGAAACTATAACTTACTTATCCCGAAGCGCAACGCCTAGGCACTGTGTGTCCGACGCAAACCCAGCTTGACGAGCGTGCCACTGCTCTAGTAGCCAGTCTGGTCGAAGATCCCAGAAACCTTCCCAGTCAACGAAGTCAGCCTGGGCCTGAACAGGCTGAGGTTCAAAAAGGACAAAGTCTCCTTCTTCGTCATCCCGGATCAACAGCTCGGCCAAATGCTCAGCAGCCGAGGTCTCTACAGTTTTTCCACCTAAATAATCTTCGAGCAGCGCTACACACAGCGGGCATCTCCGCAAAGGGTTTCTCTGGATATGCTCCCAGCACGCCCAACTCTGGCACAAGGTGCAGACTCCCCAGGTCCTGGGGCAAATCGAGCCTTGAAAGCCACACACATGGCATCTGACGCTAACGTTGCGGTCAATGGATGTCAACAGAGGCCTTACCACCATGGGAGTTCTCAAAATGGGACACGGAGTCACGATGGCCCACACAAAAACTCTGGCCTGTTCGGGCGGAGCATCAGGCACACCGTCGAGAACCGTTGCATGGGACAGCAACACCGTGTCCAAATGCACGGAAAACTCACGCGCATTCCAGAGCAGCAACACCTCGTGCTGTGGTCTGAAACGAAGACTTGGCAGTTGTGATGTCCTGCGCACAGGAGCACTGCCATTGAGACCAAAGTCCACGGTCATCCTAGCAGTGAATGGCCAAGTCAACTTGCAATAGCATCGCCTGTCATTCTCAGGCGCATGAACTCCGATGTATAAAGTCTCTGTAAACGCAGGTGCGACCAGATTGAAGCAAGCAGAACCCAAAAGAGTTTGTGATTCCCAGACATGTACTCTGTGTTCTGAGTGACTCGGCCAGAGAACATGCCACCCTGACCACTGGATCCGGAAATTGCGGGGAATACGAGAAACACCGGCAAGC